TCGACTTTAGTGACCTTAATATCTTTAAGAATAATGAAATGTTTGATTTTTACCGCCGTATTAGTAAAAAAGAAGTTGAGGAGGCTTTAAAGAAAACCAATGGTGGAAAGTCTGTTGGACCTGATGATATCCCAATTGAAGTATGAAAATATTTAGGAAATTCGGGAGTTCCTTGGCTTACTAAACTCTTTAATATTATTTTAAAAACTAAAAAGATGCCCGAGGAGTGGAGGAAGAGTATTTTGGTACCCATTTTTAAGAATAAAGGAGATGCAGATGCACAAGAGCAAGAGTGTGCAAATTATAGAAGAATTAAGTTGATGTGTCATACTTTAAAATTATGGGAGAGGGTAATTGAACAAAAATTTTTCATAATCAATTTGGATTTACGCCGTGGAAGCTATACATTTATTGAGAGGTTTGATAGAGAAGTTCAGAGATAATAAGGAGAATCTATATTTGATTTTTATTGATTTAGAAAAAGCTTACGATAAGGTTCCAAGATATTCTTTGGATAGTTCTTGAGAAGAAAGATGTTGATATGACATATTCAAGTCATTAAAGATATGTATACTAGAGCTGTTACTTGTGTTCGAACTGAAGGAGGATTGAGAAAATACTTTCCTATTTCTATTGGATTACATTAGGGATTCGTTTTAAACCCATATCTTTTTGTTTTAGTTATGGATGGTCTTACTGGACATTTACAGGAGGATGTACCTAGGTGTATGCTTTTTGCTGATGATATCCTTCTCGTGGATAAGACGAGAGAAAAAGCCCAGGAAAAACTTGAATTATGGGGTTCTACATTGGAGTCTAAAGGCCCTCATTTGAGTAGAACTAAAAAACTAAAACTAATACCTGGAATGTAATTTTAGTAGTAGTAGCTCTAGTGATAGAAGTGTAACTTTGGGTGATCAAATTATTAAAAGGTGTGAACGATTTAGATATGTCGGGTCTGTTATTCAAAGCGATGGTTATATAGATAGAGATGTTGATAGTAGAATTCAAGTTGGTTGGTTGAAGTGAAGGAATGCTTCGGGCCTTTTGTGTGATAGAAAAGTACTGCTTAGACTGAAAGGAAAATTTTATAAGACGGTGGTGAGACCGGTAATGCTCTATGACACTGAATATTGGCCTTTAAAAGAGAAGCATAATGCTAGGTGTTGTCGGTTAAGTGTTTGCCGAGATGAGAATGATTAGATGGATGAGTGGCTTTACACTTAGAGACAATGCGAAATGAATATATCGGTGATAGGGTGGTGATAGGGTTGGTGGAATATATCGGTGATAGGGTTGGTGTAGCTCCTGTGACAGACAAAATTAGAGAAATCCGTCTTAGATGGTTTGGTCACTTCTGATGATCCGATTAGGATGATCCGATTAGGAGAGTAGATGTTTTAGATTTGACTTATGTTAAGAAAGTCAGAGGTAGACCTAGGAAAACTTGGGCTTATTGTAAAAAAAAATGTTAGAACTAAATGAAAATATGACTCTAAAAATATAAGCCCAAGTCTGACACATCAACTTAATTTCATTTTTAAGAATAAAGTGGATGCACAGAGTGTGTCAATTATACAGGAATTAAGTTGATGTGTCATACTTCAAAATTATAAGAGAGGGTAATTGAACATAGGTTAAGAGGTATTACAAAGATTTCTCATAATCAATTTGGATTTATGCCGGGCAGGTCTATTATGGAAGCTATACATTTATTGAGATGTTTGATGGAGAAGTTCAGAGATAATTAGGAGGATCTACATATGATTTTTATTGATTTAGGAAAAGCTTACGATAAAGTTCCAAGAGATATTCTTTGGAGAGTTTTGGAGAAGAAAGGTATTGATATTACTTGTATTAAAGTCATTAAAGTTATGTATACAAGAACTGTTACTTGTGTTCGAACAAAAAGAAGATTGACCAGATGTTTTCCTATTTCTTTTGGTTTACATTAGTGGTCTGCTTAAGCCTATATCTTTTTGCTTTAGTTATGGATGATCTTAGGGACACTTACAGGAGGATGTACCTTACTATGTGGTTTTGCCTGATGATATCCTTCTCGTGGATAAGACGAGAGAAAAAGCTTAGGAAAAACTTCAATTATGGAGGTCTACCTTGGAGTCTAAAGGCCTTCGTTTGAGTAGAACCAGAACTGAACATATAGAATGTAATTTTAGTACTAGTAGCTCTAGTGACAAAAATGTAACTATGGGTGATCAAATTATTAAAGGGCGTGAACGCTTTAGATATCTTGGGTCTATTGTTCAAAGTGATTGTGATATTGATGGGGATGTTATTAGTAGAATTCAAGTTTGTTGGTTGAAGTGGAGGAATGCTTCGGGCCTATTGTGTGATAGAAAAGTACCGCTTAGACTGAAAGTAAAATTTTATAAGATGGTGGTGAGACCTGCAATGTTCTATGGTGCTGAATGTTGGGACCTTTAAAAGAGAAGCATAAAACTAAGTTAAAAGTTGTTGAGATGAGAATAATTAGGTGGATGAGTGGCTTTACACTTAGAGACAAAAAGAGAAATGAATATATCCGTGATAGGGCAGAGTTGGTGTAGCTCCAGTGACAGACAATATTAGAGAGACTCTAGCGGCAAACACTTTAGATGGTTTGGTCACAAGATGGTTTGGTCACATTAAACGTCGATCATCTAATGATCCGATTATAAGAGTAGATTTTTTAGATTCGACTTATGTTAAGAAAGGCAGAGGTAGACCTAGGACTTAGGCATATTGTATAAAAATGATCTTTATTAATTAGAATTAAATGAAAATATGACACTAAATAGGACGCAATGGAGAAAAATGATTCATGTAGCCGAACCCACTTAGTGGGATAAAAGTTTTTTTTGTTGTTGTACTCCGTTTGAGTCTTTTTTGGAGCTGACTCAATACATTTGAGTAAGTTAGGGAAAACTTAATTTGAATTTAAAGTCCTTAATGGAGCTCAAATCAAATTGGAATTGAGTTGAGCTGATTTTAAATCCAGTCAAGTTTCAAGTGAGTTTCAAGTTTTGAGTTTTTTAAACTATATTGTTAGTTATTCTAAACAATAGAAGTTGAGTGGGTATGCTTATTATGGTAAAAATGGGGTTATGAATAACTTTTGGAAGTACTTCGAAGTTATGATAAATAGTAAAATAACATGAGTGATTTTTCAATCTAATATCAACTTAGCTCTAAATGTTTGAAAAGGATATTTCGGTACTGATATTTTAGAGTTAAAAAGACGTGCTCATAATTGTTATATGGTTTGTTAAAATTCGATGAATATCTACTTTTGCATTAAAGTTTTTTTTTTCTGTTGAAACTAATTGTGGAAATGCTTGTGAAATTTTTTATAAACTTGGCTAACACTATTTATTGGAGTAATAGTTCTATTAAATAGACTAGGTTTGAACTAAACAAAAAGTTTAAAAAAGTTTGGAGGAGAACTTATAAGATAAGACCTTGGGACTTGTCAGACAAATTGTGAATACATAGTTTCCAAATATAAGATGAGTCAATAATGATAGATGATCAAGTGATGCATGTTTTTTAGTTTTGGATGTATTGGATCTATTTTGTATAAAAATGGGCAGTATATACACACATGGTGTAATGCTGTTACCCCAAAACAAGCCCAATTTCTTGATTCTTTTGTATGTGTTATGTGGCTGCATACACGGTTCATTTGAAAATTGAATAATTATTGCATACACAATGATGTGTTGCGTAGGAATTAAAAATTCCATTTTAAGTTTGGATTTGTTTGAATGAAGGAGCTTTCATTTGTATGTGTCTGTGGATTGAAGAGCTTTTAATGTTTATCTGTAAGTGTTGTTGTGAAGAAATAAAGAAAACCATAGAAAGATTGGTTATATTGTATGCATCTCGATGTTGGCGCACAAACAGGGCCTGAGGGTGATCGTTTAAAAAGGAGAATAGGAGAGGGAATAATACGTTGGGAGAAGTCTCACTGCTTTTCTGCAGGAATTGTCATCTCTTAATTGGCAATTATGATGGTGGTTATTTTAATCCATGCACACTCTGCCAAAAGAGGAAAATCGTATCTTTTAATAATCAATTGCATAAGTTCAAACTAAACAATAATTATCATAAATTGAATTAAATTCAAATAAAATTTTATTTAGATAAGTTTTAAACTATTCAAATTCATCCTTATCTTGCTATAGTTTGAAATTTGATTCAATGGTTTAGCTTCTAGAGCTTTGATTTCCGTGTTGGATTGATGATTTGATCGTGATAGTGGACTTCTGTTGACATCCTCTCCAATGTCAATTGTCTTATATGAGAAACACCGGTGTTAGCAATTTTAATGAAGAAAACAAACTGTCAAAACTTCAACAAACTTAATCTTTTTTTAATCTATAGGATCTACTGCCCAAATTGTGATTTATAGGAGATTTGGGTTATCACCTTGCCACCAATATACTTAATCCTCAAAATAAAAATGTATGATGGATGTGACATAAAATATCTCAAAGCCTGAAGGACATAAATTATCAAAATCGATCCAAAAATCTTAACTTTTTTCCATTGTTAAATTTGTATTGTTTGCTGTTGTTATTTCCAATTTTTGAATTGTGGATTTTACTTCTCATGGATTCATGGGGTTATATGGGTTATAAGCGGTGTGGGCTATCATATTGTATCCTCAGTTCAGATTGCTTCAAAATTTCCCAACCTTTAAAGGGACTTTGGAGAGCTTGGCTTCATTTGATCTTGGTGCTGGTTCCTAATCTTAAGCTACTTAGTGAAATAGATATTCAAACCGGCTGGTTCATGTTGACCTTTTCATTTTGTGGTTTTAGATGATAACTGTTACCTTTAAACATCATAAAACCATTTCTCATAATTAATTTTATTACCTTTATATTTTATAATTTTAATTTAGGATTATCTTTAAAGAATTCCCAACCTACTGTACAGGCAAAATGTATTGCCTGTCATATAGTTTATTTCCTTGTTCTTCTTTTGCGGTATTTCAGGTGTCCCATTTTGTTGAGCTGGGTAATATGACATCTATGCCGAAGGTGCCATCTATTTCTAATTTTCTTCTGAAGGTTATGGATGCAACTATGTCATCCATTTTTGTGCTTTCTCTCAAGGCTTATTCATAAACCGCACACCAATATTTAATTAAGGAAGATTTACATACATTCCACTCAATTTCTATGTATTTACATATCTGACAACTATGCTTCAATTTTTACATACATGCCACCTGACCTTTACATGAAAGGTGTATTTGACTTTTTGAAAGTTAATATAGTTCTATTTTTGATGTGGTAGAAAATATTTGGGTGTTATAAATGTAAAATGTAAAGTTTAGGTGTTAGATATGTAAATACATAGAAATTGGGTGCTATGGTATAAATGCCCCTTAATTTAAACGCTTATCCTTTTGGGATATACTAAGAGAATGAAGAAATCATAATGCTGCCTTAGCCACCATTTTTATTGCCCACTTCTAGCTTGATAAATTTATTTAAGCCAATGAATCACAATGACACCTTTTGGAATATACTGTGAACGCAGCTTATTCAGAAATCATAAATGTATTATTGTTCATTTTCTGCTGTTCTAGCTAAAGAGTGATTCCATTTAGTTTATTGCTACACATTATGGTACTTATTCATAACTTTATTTTGCTAGGATAGGGTTCAGTCTATTCCATGATGTACTGTTTTTTCTCCACCTTCTTGTTTTTTGAATTTACTAGTTGCTTTCGGAATATATTTGTTTATAATATCACATGTATATTTTTTAAGAAAAGTATATTATTTTAATTACAGAGATACAGCTTTATAAACCATGTTACATTCATTTATCTGTTTTCTTCAATATTTTAGTTTTTTCATGAGGATCATGTGATACTGTTTCAATTGTATAGACAGCTGTTTCTTCTGTTCATGTCCTTCTCCTTGGCTGTGGAAGCATTGCATGCATTTATTCAGGATGAATCGGAGCACAAGTATGTTTGCACTCTTTTTTCTTTTGAATTTGTTGCAATATTTCTATTAACGTTAATCATGTCTACTGGCAATGTTGACTGGATTGCGTATCGAACACGAGTAAACAGTTTGTCAACTTGCTCTCAAACATAGCAATATTGAGTTGAATATGGAATGCAAGATGTTTTTGATTGACCATGCTACCATGTGATCATTTTTGGAACATTTACATACCACTCAATTCCTATGTATTTACATTTCTAATGCCTCATTTTCAATTTTTTACGTACATACCAATTTATCCATGCATGAAAAGGTGTATTTTACCTTTCAGAAATTAAACTGTGGTATTTTTTTATGTGATATAAAAGATTTGGGTGGTATAAATATAGAAAAACAAATTTTAGTTGTTAGATTTGTAAATACATAGGAATTGGGTGGTATGCATGCAAATGCCCAATCTTTTTGTATGCGGTATATTCTGGTGCTGTTGTAGGCTTTAGTGATTTCATTATGCTATTTTTGAATTCCTGAAGTTGCATGAGGGACAGGGAGAGCCGTTATTCTTTAGCTAAAAATTGCGTCCCATTTTAATTTCATTGATTTTGTATCTGTTGGTAAGCTGAATTCTCTGTTTTTCAAGTTATTTTTCCTTTAGCACTATTTATAATTGATTAAACTAATCTTATGCGTAAAATATGTTATTTAGGTCAAATTGTGAGGTTGGATATTTTGGTATAAGCATTAAATTGTTGCGCTTTAAATGTGGATATTGCCTTAATGTAGATTTTGTGGTTGATTACCATATAGTGTTATTTCCTTGTATCTTAATTAAGCTTCGAATTCATGTTTTGCACATTGGCCGTTAACTTTTCTTTATTAAAGGAAAGTGCGCCCTTCGTTGTCAGGGATGTTGCATTTGATACTTGTAGTAAAATTACTTTTATTAGGTTTTCAATCACGTATTTAATGTCCGAGCCATTCCTTAAATAATCACAGGAGTTTATATTTATTTTGAGGTGTCACGTTAGGTGTAGTTAGCATTTTCCTGATGTTTATTGCAAAAATTCTTTGCTCTTGAAACGAATCTTATGACAGTATTACCTGTTTTCATGTACATCGTCTTAGTGAATGTGAAATAAATAATGCTCATGCCAATCTAGTATATTGATATGCAATAAGCTTTGATCATATTGTTTATAAATTATTTGTTAAAATAACTGCTCATGACACAATATGCCAAAATTCAAAACTTACTTTGAATTGGGGGAAATTGATATTTTAATCACTACGAAATTTTCAATGAATATAATATGTCTTAAAAGATACATTTATTACCAAAAAAGAGATAAATATCACAAATTTTTAGAATACATCAAAACCTGATCAAATATGTCATTTTTCAATAAATCCTACATGAAATACTACAAGTTTCCAAAATTTTCGGGTAAACTGCTCTCTATTCTTTTTTTTTAACTTTTGCATGTGCTACAATGCCACTTGAAGGAATGATACCATTTTAGGGCTCCTAGAAAGTGTTTAGGAAAAGGATTTTGGGGGGGTTGATGGAGTTGTGGAATAGTGAGGGAATAAAAAATGGGCAGTTGGCCAGGCTTGGAAGGGATATGGGTGTTCGGCGGCTGAAATCTGTTGTGGACAGCAAGTTGGCCCAAGTTTTATGGTTGTACGGTTGAAAACGAGCAAATGGATTGTCTAGGTACGAACCGTGAGGGGGATCCATCACGTGTTTTCGAGCATGATACACGTACACTACTTGCAAAAGGAAGATGATAAAACACTCTGGAGAAGCATAAATCTGATATTATAATTTCCAAACATATTCACAATCATCAAAAGTCCCTCAACCAGAAAATAACAACATATAAATATTCTCTCATGTAAAACCCTACTTAAAAATAAGAAAAATAAGAAATAAATAAATAGAAAATAAATGAATAGGAAATGAATTAAAATTGAAAGAAATATGTTGAAAACAGGAAAATTCGGTTGATTATGTCTGCAACACCGTATCTTGAATCACATAAACAACTGATTTTCGTGGATATCACAAAAGTCACGCAAGCAAGATCATGGGATGGCCTTTTCATCTTTTTGTGGGACACTCCCGTGTCATTCTGCCAAAATAGGGGAGGCTTCTTCTTCTCTAGAAAAACATGGATCCTACAGTCATATATTCTTTCCAATAAAACACTTGCAGAGTTCTTCCAAATAGCAATTCATCACTATTATCTGGCAACTGCTTGGGAATGTGTTGTTGAGCTGAACTGGAACTTTGTACTCAGCTTACCCCATAGAATATTCTCAAAATAGCACAAAAATTTCTTATCTATATCGGAGGTGATGGCATGTTGGATCTCTTTCAATAATGGCAACTTAGAAGTTAAATTGTAGGTCATAAATTCTTAAATTCACTTATTTGTGGTTATCTTTTTTCCGATTTTTTCTCCTCAAACTCATAACTTTCTTCGACAACCAATATTAGTCCTGCCGATGGGCACCCACATCCTCAATCTCTCTATGAACGTCTATTATATTAGACCCGCTACCTTTTAGGACAACCAATGATAATCACGTTGGAGTCTATCTCTTGGGCCCAACTTTGAATTATTAGCATCTCTTCTCAGTTGGTTGGAAGTTGATACTTCTCTCCATAATTCTCATCTAGGTCTTCACTCTCTGCATCCTCTATCACTTTTATTTGCACAATCAGGCGCAACGTGCCCAAATCCATGACACTTAAAACACTTCCTAGCTAGGACGGATTTAATAGTATCGGCGGTCTGCACCTTTTCTTCACTCTGTGCGGATTCTCTTTTATGGTGTTGGCTTGGGTGCTCCACTAGGTGAACATTTCCTCCCTGATCCTATGGCTCTGTCTGAAATGTGCGGTAGCCACTTGGTGATTTTGTTGTTTTTGTACCTTCAAAGCTAGGGTCTGGACATCGAGTAGGAACCAATATGGCTGCAATTGCATCAAATTCCTGTTAGATGACCTCATCCCTCCAAGATTCTTGTCACCTTGCGCTCTTTGGGCTCCACCAACTCACATTTTGGCATGAGTTTATCAAATTATGTTGTGTACTCCAAAAAAAGAATCTTTCTGACACAAGTTCTGGAGTTTTAAAAATATCATATTCTTCTTAATCTTAGACTAAGTAGTAATTTTACTTTTCCTTTCCCTCTGTCAAAGATATTTCAAGTTTCTTCACCACAAAGAAGCATTCATCTCTAACTTAATAGCAACTAATTTGACCCATATGTCAGGTGAAATGTTAATATAATTAATGATTCATTCCACTATCTGAAGAGTTTTGATGAATTTGGCTAGATCTATGCACTTGTCAAAATCTGATAAGTCGTTTTTACTCCAAAATCTTGACTTCTTTGATATTCAATTGCAAGTTGACACGGCATCAACAGTTCTTCACTTGAAACTTTTTGGTGCAAGGTGTTGACTTCCTACACTTGATCTGTTCAGTCACTGTTGTGGTTATGACTATGATGGAAGGAGGGAGTTTTACCCTTGATACATGTGAGGGAAACAACCCAAGGAGAGGAAGTTGGGTTGGAGATGCTAGGGTTAGGAAGTTAAAGATGTCGCTCGTCGAGGGGGAAGAGCCACATAGATGGGTGTATCGGGTGGGGCGATACTTCGTAAAGATTGGACTGGATAGGGAAGATAAACTCATGGCGACAAGATTATGTTTGGAGGGGAAAGCCCTAGCCTGGTTTCAGCGGAAGGAGGCTAGATACCCTATTTGTTTGTGGGGGGAATTTAAGGATTGTTTGTTGAAATGTTTTTGAGCCATTCTAGAAGGAGAACTACACGAGAAATTCTATATCTTGGCTCACGAGGAGACTGTTATAGAATATATGGAGAGATCTGAGCTATTGTCGGGACGGTTGAGGGAGATTTCTGAAACAGGATTGAAGGGAAACTTTATGAATGGCATAAAACCCGACATACAGTCAACACTCAGACTATGGAGATCATGAGGAATGAGGGAGACGATGGAGTTCATCCATATATTGGATGACAAGAACCAGATGAAGAAGACCAACAAAAACAACACCGGGGAGGATTCTATAAGAGTATCTCGACGACCATGAAACAAAGGTCCCAAATGGTGTCATTTCAGAAGGAGACGTTGAAGGAGAGGAATACAGGGGGCCCTTATTGAGGGAAACTTTAAGCACCTCACAGAGGCATATGTGCAGGACAAAAGATCAAAGGGATTATATTTTCAATGTGATGAGAAGTATGCCCCAGACAATTGGTGCAAGGATCGCACGCTCCAGGTCATTTTAGTTTGTGAAGGGGAAGATGCAAATAGTGAGGAGTCAGAGGAAGAAGCGGTGGAGGAGAAGGAACACCTTCATTTTTTCCTCCTTTGAAGACAATGTGTTTTTTTTTTTGGAAGGGAGTATTGTTACACCAGCCTAGCCTAAGGGCAACTTTATCTTTTATTAGCATAAAGGCAATTAGTTTTTTATTATTATTAGGGTTTGGTATGAATATCCCTAATAGGATTAGGGTTGGGTATGCATGAGATTGTTTGTTGTGAGCTTTAGGTTTAGTTTTGAGAGAGACTTCCTACCTCTAGAATTGTAGGAATTGGGAGAAGTCGCTTACCTCTCGAATTATAGGTGTTTATCCTTATATTTGTGTTGTTATGGATTATTAAAGAAAAATATTTGCTTTGCCCTAATTTCTATGGAGAATCATGCTGATTTCAAATCTTATCAGCCAATAAATCTTTACAAATAAATGTGAAATCCCTAGGTAAATGAAACCTAGGATATTCACCGACAGTACTAGATAAAATCCCTTCATACAAGATAACACTTGGAACATGTGGAAATATGTCGGTAAGATGCTGACTATGAATTTGCGAGAAGGAAAAAAGAGAAGAATCTCTGGTTTTAGTGTTAGGTTCATGGATAGTCAAATTAGATACATTGAAGTCAAGAACACTGTTAGAACTTTTTGAAATTTCCATTTAGAATGGTTTTATTGGCTGTATAAAGTTGGTATCTTATCAGCTTGGACGTGTGGCTTTATGTAGGGCCAATTGTTTCCAAATTATTTTTCTTACACTGCATACACAGTTCACTTTGCAAATAAATCTTATTCTTTTTGCAAATGTAACTATAATTTGCTAGTTTACAATATTTAGTTGAGGTTTCATGTTCTTTCCTTGAATGCCTCAATTCATGTGCCAACTTTGCTTGTTTCTCTGGCCATAACCTTCTTTCTCATACACAGAACCTTAGACGAAGAAATAGCACTCTGTTACAGTTATCATGGAAATTGGCACATGCAGACATGATTTGAATTGGATAAATATGTGTCCTTTATTATTATTATTATTATTATTATTATTTTGTAACAGAAACATAAAAAACTGTTAAATTTACTAACATTTGATTCTCTTTTGGCTTCCCCAGGTTTAAATCTGCTTGGATTAAATTGCTAAACCTTTTGCACTGTTTGGAATTCGTATTACGTTTTTAAAATGTTTATAAAACTTCTTTTCCACGTTTGGTGTTGCTCTAGATGTTGCTGATTATATATTCCTTCGCTCTTTGAAGTGTTTTTTTTGCTAATTAATATTTTCTATTATTTAGGCATTATCTGATTGTTTCTGCTGTTACCAATCTTTTGGTGAATTTACTTGGCGTTTGGTTCTTTCGGAGCTATGCACGTGTTAATATTGGTAAAATGCTCTGTTTCACATCTAGGAGGACATCTTTAAAGTTCCTGCTTATTTTATAATTGAGAAAAGTGCCAAAATGGTCCCTGACTTTTTGTGAGTTTGTATTTTAGTCCCAAAGTCTGTAAAAGTGTCAATATATCCCAGACTATTTTAATGAGAGCTAAAATAGTCCTCCCTATGCACTGTTTCAGTCCATATTAAAAGAATCTAGGGATTAATTTTGTATTTTAATAGATTTTGGGACTATTTTGGCACTTAACTCTTTTATAATTTTATTAATTGCTCTGATTTTTTTTTCTGTATTTGTAATTAACTACATTTTCTTCCTGTCAGGTATGATTAAAAAATGTATCATATTTTGGGTTTAGATCACTGGATAGCACATTCACTACTTTTGATATCTTTTCTTAATATGAAGAATCTCCAATGATGGCTTTATTATCCCTCTCCCTGATTTTCTGTGCAGCTTATAGGAAGGCTGAAGATATGAATTGCCACTCTATCTGTCTGCATGTTCTAGCTGATTCTATCAGGAGGTATAATTTTCTAGTAATTGGCCAATTCATCAGCATTACAACATCAGCTAAATATTCATTTTTGGGCACTTACATGCATACCGCACAATTTTATCTAATTACATATCTAACACCTAAACTTTCATGTTTACATACATCAAAATTACCACTATTACTAACTTTTTAAAAGTAAAGTACATATTTTTAAGCATAGGTTTTTGACACCGAAGTGTTATAAATGTAAATATCAAACTTTTGTTGTTAGATATGTAAATACTAAGGATTTTTGTGGTGCATGTAAATTTTGCTTTCATTTTTTTCCTTGCTTTGCCTTCTCTTCAAATTTCTCCATAAGGCAAAGCTCTTTTCTAAAGCCTTTGTCTGTGAATTGTATCTCAGCGCCGGTTTGATTCTTGCGTCATGGTTACTTAGTTTAGGGTGAGTATTTCATTTATTCATAACCATTGTTAACACCTTATGAAATTTATTTACTCCAAGAATGCTGATAAGTTTTTTTTTTCTTTTTTCCTCTTTTTGTCAGTATTGAGAATGCAGAAGTGCTGTGCTTAGGATTGGTCTCAGCTGCAGTATTTGTGGTCATCCTTCCACTTTTTAGAGCTACAGGTGGTGTCTTGCTCCAACAGGTTCCTGCTACTTTGCCTTCTTCCGCCTTCAGCAAATGCTTGAGACAGGTGTGGTTCCTGAGCTGTTGTTTAGGGTTCGCGTGGGATTATCTTTTTTTGTTTTTTTTACCTTTTACGTTTTATTTTTTTTGGTTATTTTTATTTTAAAAATATGTTTATTTAATATATTTTTTTGCATGTTTTTTATTTTTTTGCTTTTCAAAACATAAACAAAACAAAATAAAAATAAAAAATCATAAGTGATCCCAGGTAACCACTTAGGCTCTGTTTGGCGCTGCTGCGGGGAAATTGACTGTTTGTTTGGTGCAGCTGTGTGAAAACAGCTGTGGGGTAGCTATTTCTGGAGAAATGACCATGCTGCCCCTGTTTGTTAAAACTGTTTAAAAAATGACTGTAAGACTGTAACATGACTGTAACAGCGCCATTTTTTAAACTTCTGAAGCAGAAATTCATTTTTTAAAAAAAGATAAGGTTCCTCTCTAAGAAAAAAGAAAAAAACAACCCACCCCATCTAAAAACCCAAAGAAAACAAAAAGAAAAACATAATAAAAAGCACTTAAAGTAGATCAGAATAAACAAGATACTTGAGGGCCAAAGGAGCATGTTTAACAATGATAGCACATATAAGATAACATTCCAGTTTTGCCGCCCAATTAGCTACCTTGTTTCCATACCTTTTTGTATGAGTCCAGCAAACGCATATATCTTTGAAATTAACCAAAGATATATGCGTTTGCTGGACTCATACAAAAAGAAACCCATGCCATCAAAAATAAGCTAAATATTGGATTGCATAAAATACTGGTTGCTCTGCAAAAATTATCGGATAATCTCTTAAACAACATTTTTATTTTTCAACTGCATCCAAAGGATCCGGTGAGACCAATTCATGAAAATTTTCATATTCAAAGACATGCGGTATGTATGTAAATTTGGAAGGGAGGTTTGAAGAATTTCTTCAATGATATGCGAAGACGAAGCTCCCATTGGCTGCGGTGCTGGTCGAGGAAGACGAGCGGGGAAGAAGATCGCGGAAGAAGAGCGGGGGGAAGAAGATCGCGGAAGAAGAGTGGGGGGAAGAAGAACGTGGAAGATGCGGTCCTGGTCGAGGAAGAAGAGAGGGGAAGAAGATCGCGGGGAAGAAGAACCTGGTCGTGCGCGGGAGGGCGATCCGCGGGATTCGGAGGAAGAAATCGATGCGCCGGAGTGGCGATCCGCGGGATTCGGAGAAGAAGATGGCAGGCGGAAGTGGCGATCCGCGGGATTCGGAGGAAGAAATCACGCGCGGGAGATTCAGAGGAAGAAGATCTCGGGCGGGAGGGCGGGACGAGGGTTTTTTGCGAGGGGCAAAACAAGCCTTTTCACGCTGCGAAGCTCTGTCGCGGGGAGGATACCGCTTTCCGCTTTCTTTCGGCTTTAACTTTCTTTTGCCGCGACGCTCCGAGCCAAACAACAAATAATCGCGATTCGGGGCCGCGAAACTGCAGAAAAGCGGCCCCAAACGGACCCTTAGTGGTGGTTGTTTTTTTAGAAATACTCAGAACATTAAAATGTTATTTTGAGTGTTTTTTTAAACTTTTTAATTCATTTTAAAAAATAAAACACTTAAAAAAATATACCAAACAAACATGTTCTTAAAAACAAAAACAAAATACAAAAATGATCCCAAACCAACCCTTAGGGCTCGTTTGGAATCACTTTTGATTTTTGTTTTTATTTTGTGTTGTTTATGTTTCATTTAAAACAAAACATATTTGGAATGATATAATATGTTCAGTTATTTTTAAAAAATACTCAACAATTTTTAAATATTTTGAGTATATTTAAAGACAAGCTAATTTATTTCTAAAAATAAAAGATAAAAAACATGCAAAAAATGCACTAAAAAATATGCTTTTAAAACAAATATAAAAATAAGAACAAAAGAGATCCCAAACACGCCTATAGTTTTTTAAATTTTAGAGTATCTTTTGTACTTAATTTTCCATTTGCTATATGCTCCGACTTGTCCATTTTTTCTAGATGTTACCTTCCTTTTGTAGGTAAATGCTCTTGAAGATGTTTCAGAAGTCACTCAGTCCAGGTTTTGGGAATTGGTTCCTGGTCATGCAATTGGTTCCCTCTCTATTCTGGTATGTGTTCTCTGAGCTTAGCTATTGCTGCTTTAGCTGATTTAGGCTAAAATGGTTGTGGAAATTAACCATGAAACACAATACTTTTGAATGATTTATCTTGATGCTATATTTCTTGAGTATTTAGGTACCTCATTGATGCCATGATGGACATGCCACATGCCTTGTGGCACATTTAATTTAAGGGGCATTTACATACATCCCACCCAATTCCTATGTATTTACATATCTCACACCTAAACTTTAATTTTTACATTTGTACGACCCAAATCTTTAGTATCACATAAAAAATACCAATATTTTATCTTTTAAAAACTGAAATACACCTTTTAATGCACAAATAATATGAGCACATGTAAAAATTGAAGTTTTGGTGCTGGATATGTAAATACATAAGCAGTGAGTGGTATGTATGTAAATCTTCATTTTTAAAATTAACAGGTTTAATGGTATTTCCTCTTAAAATCAAATCTTGGGTTTCATAGCGGGCTTAATTGAATTTGATTACTGCTTGCTCTATTCAAGGAAATCCAATAAGAAAGAATTCAGCCGGAACTTGCAGGTTTCAGTTTTTTTGATTCCGAGGCAAAATAGAATTGAGTTCAAACTCGAGCTCATACTCAATAAATTAGTCAAGCTCAAATTAGACATGTCTCGAGCTCGACTCAACTTCTTTAAACGCTTCACCACTTGTCTCAAAACTTCACAAAGATGAGATCATCATAATAGACTTAAATATCCTAAAGAAAACCTTTATTTGCATCTTTTTGGATATATAAATTACTGCTTCAAAGTGAGTTGAAAAATAGGTATATGAATAAACAATTCTTTCCCAGGTGAAAGATGGAGAAAATGATGATTCAGCTCTTCATTATGTGCATGAATTGTATCATGATTTGGGGATACAAGATTTAACAGTGCAGACCGATCCAGTTAGTTCTACCAGCAAGGACTAATATGTAAATTACATAATTTGTGATCTGCACCCTTTTTTTTATCATTCAAGTCCCCATAGTTTGAAGCAATTATAAATATTTATATCATTATTAAGTACACATTGCAGAGACTGTCCATAGCTTGTACAATTTTTATTTAAATGTTGTTTAAAATTCAAGTTTTTATCTTTAAATTGTTGAGCATAGAACATGTTGTCTTCTTATTAAAGGAGTTGTTAAGCCAAAATTAGAGTAAAAATTGATTCATATTATTTTATCATCTATAAAATATAACTGCATTTACATACATATTACCCAATTCCTGTGTATTTACATATCCAACACATAAATTTTATTTTCTTACATTTATACCACCACAATTTTTCATATCACATAAAAAATATAGCCATTTAAAACTAGTGTAATGTATCTTTTCATGCATAGTTAAGGGGAAGCATCTATGTAAAAAGTAAAGTTATATTAAATATCTAGGAATTAAGTGGTATTTATGTAAATATCTTTATTATATATGTAAATAATTAATTTGGAGATAAGTTTAGTCTTGGTAAGGTTCCCTACTTTGGCGGGCAATTAATGAAAATCATGTTATTTCATGACTTGACTTTGTTGCACATCACCTGATGTGTGAAATTGCAACCATACCTTTCAACTTTTTTGTGTTTTTTTTCTTCTTTTTTTTTTTTTCCCTTTTGCAATTTAAATCAGTCCCTTTTGCAATTTAAATCAGTTCTCCTGCACTTGCAATAATCCACTTGATTGTCGGCGCCATTAAACTCCTTCATCAACGTGGTCCATTAAAACTCCAATAATAATAATAAAATAAAATTCTTGTGGTAGGCAAAATTTCCCCCACACATACAAAACTATATATATATAATGATGGATGGTATATTAAACTAATAATTTTACCAAAACAAAAATTGGAACTACCAAAATTACAAATTCAAACTTTGATTTTGGGATAGAAACTATCGATGTATTTACACGTGTCACGATCGATTGAACTGTTGAGAAATTGCTAAAAATGAAAATGAAAGTTGGGTATTACTATGATTTTTTATATTTGAGTGGGTTTTTGAAATAATGATGAAAGAGAGGGATTGATTTGTAAATAGCAAGTTTTAGGGGGTCTGCATGTAACTGCCTCAAATCATTAAGAGAGTAGTTTTGAATGGTTAAAGAGTTCTTTTGGCAGGTAGCCATGAGCATTAACTAACTTCATGAGTTCCTCAAATAATTTTAATATCTTTAAACTTAGGGGCTAAGTTTAATTGAAGTAAATTTTGAGTGACTTATTTGAGAAGTAACTTAGGTGACAAAGAATTAGGCAAGTCGAGAGTTGGAAAAAATATTGCGTCTGAAGTTGGGACGTAAGCAGTGTCCGAATAACAGATATGAATCATCGGAGGAGCGGAAGAGGAAAAAAAAAAAAACTCGCTCGGTGTATCGCGTCCGTTGTCAGGACGCTGCTTGCTTCCGAACTTCAGACGCAATATTTTTTTCGAGAGTTGAGGAGTTACTGATTTATTAGTGGTTCTCTCAAGCTCTCTCATAATGAGCCATTTATTAATTTTGATTCTTAATTACCTCTAAATAATTATAATTAATGACTAAAATTTCCCAAACAAGTTCCAATAAAATTAAAAAAAAAATGTTTAGCAATGAATTAACAATAGTTTGGTTGCAATATTGTTCCCTATCAGAGTGGGCCTTTAATCCTGAAATCATATTATATTGACATAAGGATTGCATCAGGATATATTTGAAGTTTAATTGTGCAATTTAATTAAATGTCCAAATCTTAAAAAAGTGTTTGAGAAAAACACATCACCTTTAACATTGCACACTACATTTCAATGATATAATTTAAAAGTGGAAGATTTACATACATGCCACTCAATTGTTATGCATTTATATATCTAACACCTAAACTTCAATTTATATATATATGCAACCTTATTTGTACTTGAAAAGATCTATTGCACTTCTAAAAGTTAAAATAGTGGTGCTTTTGTTGTGATATGAAAGATTTGGGTGTTATAAATTTAAAAAGCTCAGTTTAGGTTAGATGTGCAAATATGTAAGAATTGTGTGGTATGTAAATGTCCCAATTTAATTGTTACATGCCTCCCTCTCTCTCTCTCTCTCTCTCTCTCTCTCTCTCTCTCTCTCTCTCTCTCTCTCTCTCTCTCTCTCTCTCTCTCTCTCTCTCTCTCTCTCTCTCTCTCTCTCTCTGTCTCTCCCCCCTCTCCCTCTGATACCAGAGTTGAACCAAATCACGACTCAGACGAGACAAATTTTATTGTTGCAACTTAAAAACAAGTGCAATGGAGATTCCTTACCAATAAGGATGCGTAAACAGTAAGCAGGAACACATACAGAACAAGACGAAACAACACATAAACAGTAAAGAAATAGAAAATGCATAAATAGACTCGACATGAAATAGAAATAGTCTTGAAATGTGACGAAACCTGTGTAACAACCCCGGAAGATTGCTAGAAATCTGCCAAGGTGAAACTAGAGAGGGACGCACAACTGCTAACCGACAGAATAGGAGACGAAAATCTTGGAAGCTAGGAAATGAGGGCCAAGAGTAGATCACCCTAGCTGGAGGTGGCGCTAAAGAGATCCTGGAGGAGCAACAACCAGGTTTTGAAGGGTGGGTGGCTGGAATTGATGGTGCCATGGCCTACTTAGAGAGGTGCAGGAAGGGGGTGCAACTTCTGGAGTTAGTTGGGAGCTCCGACGATCCACTGGATGGAACTAGGAGGGGCGGTAGCAGTAAAAGGTGACACTGGAAGAGGGAATGGAGCGAGGATATCCACCACGTAGGGCAAGATACAGTTGTGGCACCACTCGCCAAAAGGGTACAACCATCGAAGAGGGAGCATCAGGAAGAAGCACCTCAAAAATCAGAAAATCAACATATGATTAGAACCTAAGAAAAAATACGTAAATAGAGGAAAAACTAGCAACTAACAATAGAAAGATCTGAGAAGTGTGTGGGGGGGGGGGGGGGGGGGGGGGGGAGATGGAAGGATTTAAAGAGGAGTGATAGAGGCGAGATCACAATTGCAGGAGGCGGCAGAAGGATAGGGCACGGAATGAGTTGAACGCAGAAGAAGAGCCAGTGGAAATCACGAGCTTTAAGTAGAATTGGACCGTCTTGTCCAAGAGAAAGACCAGGTATGTTCATTTGTCACACTCAGTCGACAAGCCTGGACAACCCCACATCACACTCCCTCTCTCTCCCCCTTCTCTCTCTATGTGTGTGTGTGTGAGTGTACATAAATTGTATATACCAAAAATGACAACATGAATCTTAAAGGGATTGAACGACTAGGAATGGAGACTCAAGTGATCGAATTTTCAAATTAAAGAACTGGATGTCGATAAACAAACAACTGATCAATTGCACGACTAATCAACTGGCAAGACCGTCGGCTGATGGACCTCTCACCAAAATCGATTGGCTTCCTTTTGATCGATCGACCAGTTCCCTTGGCATAATCAAACTGATATATACAGTTGATCGACATGGCTGGTTGAACCGAAACTTCCAACGATCGACATAAATTATATTTCCTTTGTATTATAGTGCAATTTTCATTCAACATATACATCGATTCAGTTATTTGGGCGGTTATAATAATTGTTCCCTCTTCTTTATGTAATTATATTTTAATACCCCTATAAGTATGTAGTCAGGACATAAATAAGGAGACTTTTTACACTCTCTCTCTCACACACACAAACTTTCTCTCTCCTTTCTTCTCTCAGTTCTAACTCTCAGGATGTGTTTTTCAAAAGACAATTTATGATTCAACATTTTAAATGGTAATGCGGTGAGCGTGGACATGCCACTGACGAGAAGCAGAGCACACTATGAAGGAGAATTGCAGCAAAAATACGCAACAACCAAGGAGCTCGTTCACGAGAGAGTCAGTGAATCGAGAGATTCAAGAGCAAGTATTGGTGTCGCGGGAGCTGATGATGGACTAATTTGAGACCCTTTGAAAGGTACACTTTTAAAAGAATGATTAAACTTCTGTTATGGAGGTGGGATCTCGGGAAACTCGCCCTCAAGGGGTTTCCTTGGAGAATCCACCAACTCCTAATATAAGTGTGAGCAGTAGGATGACCGAAGGGCAAGGAGATTCTCATCACATGGATAACACTGAGTCTACGTTGATGCTTAAGCATCGAGTAAACTTGTTTTCTCATTTTTTTTTTAGAGCACTCAGAGTACATCTTCTTTATTTATATGTCGTTGCATAATTCTCTTATTTAAATAAGTTTCCCTCCCAAAGCATATCAATGATTCGAAAAGGAGAGGAATAAAAAAAAAGAATATATGACAACAAATAGGGGAAAAAATAAAAAGAAACAAACGAAATGCTTATATGTGGGAAATCCTCATGTGATGGGTCAAGAATATACATTTGAATAGGATCAGATTGAAGTACCTCGAAACACAATATCTACCAAGAGAATCCCTACATAAACCACGCCTAACCAAAGAACCAAAAATTTTTTTTTTGTTTTGGGGTCAAGAGCCTCCCAGAGGAACACATTCTTCTAGTTAATTACACCTTGAGGGAGACCCAAGAATACTCTCGATTTCACTTATATTATCATGAATCTAGAGAATTCACCATCAAAAGATGGTTATTTTGAATGGGAATGCCCCGATGCTTTCAAAACTCTTGCTAAGCCACAAGACAAAGAGTAAGTCTCTCAATTCCCAAACGGGTAGCGACTCGTTGACATACAGAGCATACGAAATAACCAAAATCATCTCAATGAGGATATCTCTATACATTAGAGCTCACCGAACTATAAGAGCAAAGGGTGAATTACCTTATCCCAGACAGGTGACCACTCATCAGTAATTGGGCCATCAAGATGATATCGACAAAGTCAAAAGGAGCGACAGGAGTTGAAGGGGCTCAACAAGAAGGGTAGAGTAATCCTGAAAGGTAGAGATAACTGGGTAAAGGTACCACAGACCCATCAAGTCTACCTGGCCGTGAAGGCAGTTAACCTAATACGTCCAAATATCCACAGTCAACGCTCCATGAATTGTATCGTCCACACGAACCTTAGTAGTTGATAC